TTCTCTGCTCCTCTTCTTAAGCTCCAAATGACTTCCAAAGCACCTGATAAAGACTTCAAAACATGCAAAACTCTTTGGGACCTAATGCAAGCCCTAAATCCTATTTTCATGCCTAAAGACTCAATTTACATGGGAAAACGCATGATGAGGACTTTAAAATGCACTCTAAATGATGTAAAATATAGACATATCATATTGTTCGAATGCCTTTAGATAATAAGATCACCAAAATAACTTCTTCTCTTATTGCTTTAGAAAATAACTCAAAACTAAAGCTCACAATCTCTTAAGGGATGCTACAACTTTAGCAACTCCTTATATAGGAATAGATAACTCCTAAACCTAATAGAACTACAAAATAGAATATTTCTTAAAATCACTTATTATTCCTAAACACAACTTAGTTAGGAATTGGATAACTTGCTCTTCAAGTTTACTCTAACATTCTCCCCTTTAAACTTGAAATCTTCTTTGGATACTCTCTGCACTCCTGTGAGATCTCTCATCTCTTTGAATTTAATCCTTCCAAGTGCCTTTGTCAGAATATCAGCCTTCTGCTCAGTTCCAGGAACATGTTCGACAAGAATTTGTTCATTCTCAACACATTCTCGTATAAAATGGTACCTCCGGTGTATATGCTTGCTTCTCCCATGAAATACTGGATTTCTTGTCAAAGCTATTGCTGATTTGTTATCTATACACACCTTTGCCTTCTCGAATTCTGTTCCTGTGACCTCACCGAGTAACTCTTGAAGCCATATCACTTGTTTGGCTGCCTCTGTAGCTGCCATAAACTCAGCCTCACATGAAGATAATGCAACAGTCTCTTGCTTCTGAGAACACCAGGTGATCGATTGTTCAAATAAAAAACGTGACCTGAGGTACTCCTGCCATCGTCGATATCAACATTGTGACTACTATCACTGAACCTAACCAATCCTTTCACATCTGCTTTTCCGAAGGTTAAACCATAGTTTAGAGTACCTCGCAAGTACCTTAAGATTTGTTTCATTGCAGCGCCATGGGACTCCTTTGGTTCCTGCATGTATCGACTTAGTACTCCAACTGAAAACGCCATGTCTGGTCGAGTGTGAAGTAAATATCTGAGGCATCCCACGTTTCTTCTGTATTCTTTCTCGTCGATGCCCTTCTCTTCAGGTGCTTTGCTCAGTTTCAAACCTGATTACATTGGTGTATGAACTGCATTGCATTCATCCAAGCCATTCTCTTCAAGGATTCTCTTAGCATACCTTTCTTGATTTAAGGTGATACTGCCACTCTTGCTGTAACACCTCAATTCCGAGGTAGTAAGTCAATCTTCCTAAATCGCTCATCTCAAACTTTTCTGACATCTCTTTTTTAAACTCATGTATTAAGTTCAAACTTGTTCCTGTAACAAGTAAGTCATCGACATAAACCGCTACCAGCAGAAGATCTTCTTTTCTCTGTTTTCGATATAGTGAGGGTTCCTTGGAGCACTTTATGAAATTCAAACCTCTAAGAATCTCATTCAACTTGTTGTTCCAAGCTCTTGGAGCTTTCCTTAATCCATAAAGAGCTTTATGCAACTTATATACTTTATTTTCATTCCCTTTGATCACGAAACCTTCTGGTTGCGTCACATAAACCTCTTCTTTAAGTTCTCCATGTAAGAAAGCGGTTTTAACATCAAGATGATGTACTTCCCACTTGTTAGAGGCAGCTAAGGTAATGATGAATCGAATAGTTTCAATGCGAGCAACTGGAGCAAATACTTCATCAAAGTCGATGCCAAACCTCTGCACATACCCCTTTGCGACGAGTCTTGACTTGTATTTGTTGATGCTTCCATCCGAATTTCTTTTGATCTTAAAGACCCACTTAAGTCCGATTGCTTTTGCACCTTGAGGAAGATCAACTAAAGTCCACGTTTTGTTTTTGGTAATGGATGATATTTCTTCTTCGCAAGCATCTCTCCATACCTTCAGTTCTTTGGCCTCCTGATAATCCCACGGTTCCTCGTTCATGGACAGCAAAAGACGCTCACCTTCTTCTTCCGCTAAATAGCATACGAAATCCTTTAGGTACTCTGGCTTCTTTGTCTGTCTAATTGATCTTCTAAGAGCTGGTTCAACTTGTGTTTCCTCTTCAGTAATCTCTGTGTTCTCGAAATCAGGCACATTAGTCTCCTTTTCTTCGATATTCTCATCTTTCGTAGTATCTTCCCTTCCTCTGTTTTCATCTTCCTCTGTTTCTGTTTCGAGATCGTCGTTATTACTTGAACCATCGAACTGAAGCGTGAAAGTACCTGTGTCATCGTCTCCTGTTTCCTTTGAACAGCTCCACTTCCAGCTTCTTCTTTCATCAAAGATGACATCTCTGCTTACCACTATCCTCTTGGTCTTTGGATTTAGCAATCGGTAAGCCTTTGAACCTGGTTCAGTTCCCAGATGAACCAGTACTTGAGATCTATCATCCAATTTTTTAAGATGAGGTACTGACATCTTAGTATACCCGATGCAACCAAAAACTCGCAGATGTTCGATATTAGGCTTTCTTCCCTTGAAAGCTTCATATGGTGTTTGTAAGCTTAATGTTTTTGTTGAAATTCTATTTATGAGGTATGTAGCATGTCTTACTGCTTCTACCCATAAATAGTTTGGCACTTTCATATGCTTCATCATGCTCCTTGTCATCTCTAAAAGAGTTCTGTTTCGCCTTTCTACGACCCCGTTTTGTTGTGGACTATACGGTGCAGTCAAATGTCTTTGTATCCCTGTGTTTTCGCAGAATTCTTGAAATTCTTGGGATGTGAACTCTCCACCACGATCAGTTCGGAACGTCTTGATCTTTGTTCCTGTCTCTTGTTCAACTATTCCTTTGAATTTCTTTAATCTGCTGTAAGCTTCACCCTTTTCTTTCAAGAGAATCGACCACATATACCTGGAATAATCATCAATTAAGACGAATATGTATCTGTTTTGTGCTGCAGTTGCAGGTGTAATGGGTCCACACAGATCTCCGTGAATGAGTTCGAGTGTACGTGTTGCTCGATACGTAGTTGCTTGGGGAAAAGATTTCTTGATCTGCTTGCCAAGTAAACACGATTGACAAGTCTCTTTCTCGACTTTTAGACTCGGTAAACCAGTGACCAAGTCCTCCTTGACCATAGTCTTCATTGTTTCTATACCGACGTGTCCTAACCTTGCGTGCCACTTAGATGAATCACTTATTGTTTGTATATGTAAACACTCTGTATTCTCCACCTCCATTCGTACCTTGTACAACCGGTTTCGCGATCTTGTTGCCTTCACCAACACTTTACCATCCTGATCGGCCAAGGTTAAGTAGTCACCTTTCATTCTAACATCACAACCCGATTCTATAGCCTGCCCTAAGCTGATGATGTTGCTCTTGAGATCTGGTATAAAGTAGACATCAGCTAGTACTTTTCGTTCCCCATCTTTGGTCACAAATAGTATTGAGCCTTTTCCTTTGATGTCAATGCGGGAGTCATCTCCAAATCTTACTTTCCCTGTGATTTTATCATCAATCTTTGAGAAGTAGCTTCGGTTTCCTGTCATGTGATTGCTAGCTCCGTTGTCTAAGTACCATATATTTTCATCATCACTTGAAGTTTCGAAGTTGCTTGGTTTCACGTTCTTCTCGTTAAGGAACACTACTTCATGAACCATTAGCTTCTCTGCTTCGTGAGTATCATCTGCATCGTTTTCTTGTGCTTCTTGTAGCTTAAGGAGCCTGTCTGGGCAATTTGAGGCGAAGTGCCCTGACTTGTCACACCTGTAGCACACTATCTTCGACAAGTCCCTTGCCTCGTTTGCCCTTCCTCGACCTCTTTCTCTGTTATAGAAGCGTCCTCCTCGACCTTTGCTTCTATTTTCATTGGAATAGTTCTGATCTGTCTGTGCTTCTGTATTCGCATACATTAGTTTGTTCTGATTCTCTTGAGTTTCCTCCTCCTCTTCATGGATTCGTTCTTCATAAGCCTTTAGACGTCCTACAATATCCTCAAAGCTTGTAGCATTAAGGTCGAGTACTTGTTCAAGCGATGCTACTATGTGTATGTATTTCTTCCGAGGAATACTTTTGAGAAACTTCTTTACCACCTTAGATTCTTCAATATTTTTTCCCAAGGCTGCAGACTTTGAACAGATTTCGGCCAGCTTGCCGCTGTATTCATCTATGGTTTCGGTGTCCTTCATCTTCAATCGATCAAAGTCAGCCATTAGGGTTTGTAAGCATGCTTCCCTGACTCTCTCTGCTCCTACGTTCCTTGTTTTGACTGCGTCCCAAACCTTCTTCGCTGTATCTAACTCTCCGAGTTGTAAGATAAGCGTTTCGGGTATGGATTGGAAGATGAGGCCCATTGCTATGTCGTTTTTCTCTCCGTCATCTGATCCTGTTTCCACAACTTCCCAAGCCTTGTGGATTTTTAGAAGAACCCTCATTCTTAACGCCCAAACAGTATAGTTTGTAGAATTAAGCATAGGGCATTGTATCGTTGATGTGCTCATCTCCTTAGGTCGAGTAACTGGAACGATGTCTCCCATGATCAATTATCTTCGTATTTGAACCTCTCTGCTTTGGATCGCTGGTTTTCTTAGCTCTGATACTAAATATTGTTCGAATGCCTTTAGATAATAAGATCACCAAAATAACTTCTTCTCTTATTGTTTTAGAAAATAACTCAAAACTAAAGCTCACAATCTCTTAAGGGATGCTACAACTTTAGCAACTCCTTATATAGGAATAGATAACTCCTAAACCTAATAGAACTACAAAATAGAATATTTCCTAAAATCACTTATTATTCCTAAACACAACTTAGTTAGGAATTGGATAACTTGCTCTTAAAGTTTACTCTAACAGACTGTGGGACATTACCGAAGAAAAGGTCTTTGATTAACCAAACTTTCGATTTTTTTTCTCTATAAAGAGCTCCATCGAAATCTAAACAGATCATTGTCCCAAAAATACAAGTCAGAGAAAAAGAAGAAAAGATGACCTGTCACAAAACTTTCCTTTTAATCTCTATGATGCTTGCGGTCTCAGTGGTCAATGGAGTTGACTTCTCTGTTGTCGACAACACCGGTGATTCCGCTGGCGGAAGGAGATTTCGAGAAGAGGTTGGTGGTGTAAGCTACGCCACGCAGTCACTGAGGGCCGCGACAGACTTCACGTGGCGTTTGTTCCATCAAACCTGTTGGGATTAGTGCTGAAGATCAAGATCAAAAAGGAAGCTAGACGTGGAAAAGAAGTCTGCAGCTCGAAGGCAAATGTCACGTGACCGCAAGTTACGCTCAGGACCACTTAAGAGAGCCATTTATGTCCTGCCATAAAGCAAACATAGTACGGACTTGTCTCCTGGTTTCACTAGAGATAAGTGCCACTTTTATTCAATGCGGTTTTGTCTCAAGTGATGGAAATTACGTGGAGGGGAAAAGGGAACTAGGTCAAGACGTGACTATTTAAGGAGCCATGTTACATCATTGAGAAAATAGACAGAGTGTGACTCGTGTGAGAGTTGAAAGAACATAACACTAAAGCATAAACTTGTGTTCTGTTCTCTGGGAAACAAGGGAAAGAGTGAAACTTGTAGAGGCTTTGTAAAGGGGCTGGTGTGTGATTCTGATACTCTTTGTAACCCTTGAGATTCCAGTGGATTCCGGGAAGATCCCGGCGAGACGTAGCGACCCTTTCCGGGCGTGAACTCGTTAAACTCTGTGTGTGCTCTGTTTCTTATTTTTCTGCACTTTACTTGTTCTTGCTCACTCGTAAACCTCATTCAAAACGTTAAAGCTTCCTACTTTTGGTGTGTTGGTGATATTAGGCACAAAATGTAGCGCCTTTGAGGGTCAAAATATCTCCACATATTGGTAGCAGAGCCAGGTTCTGGTGGTTTGTGGTTCGGAAGTCTTGAAGACTGTAAGAGCCATGTCGTCTTCAAGGGTAGAGATGGAGAAGTTTGACGGCCATGGGGATTACACGTTGTGGAAAGACAAGTTGCTGGCTCATCTGGATCTCCTGGGGTTAAGCAAATGCCTAGAAGAAACTGAGGCTACGAGTAAGGTCTCAGATCCAAAAGAAAAAGATGCAGATGAGAAGGATGCTAAAGAAAAGGAGGAATCTTTGGCTGAGAAAAAGAAGAAAGCGAGAAGCACAATCATTTTGAGTGTTACAGATAGGGTTCTGCGGAAGATCAGAAAGAACAAAACCGCTGCGGAAATGATAGATGCACTGGACAAGCTCTATATGGCAAAAGCTCTTCCAAATAGAATCTATCTGAAGTAAAGACTCTACAGTTTCAAGATGTCGGAAAGCCAGTCTATCGAAGCAAACATAGACGATTTTCTACATCTGATTGGAGACTTGGAAAATGCTGACGTTACTGTGTCTGATGAAGATCAAGCGATCTTGTTACTCATGTCTCTCCTGAGACAGTTCGACCAACTCAGGGATACACTGAAATATGGGTCAAGAAGGTCAACACTTACACTTGATGAAGTTGTTTCAGCTATCTACGCAAAGGAACTAGAGTTTTGATCAAGCTCTAAAGGTTCTAAAGGGCAAGGAGAAGGTCTATACGTCAAGGATAAGGGAGAACAGAGAGGAAGGTCAGATCAGCGAAGTTCAAAACCGAACAAAAGATCCAAATCCAAGAGTAAGAAAGGGTGTTGGATCTGCGGTGAGGAAGGGCATTTCAGAAGCTCATGTCCGAGCAAACATATGTCTCAGAACAAGTGAAAGGATCAAAGTAAAGGGGAAGCTGCAATGGTAAAAGGGAGTAAGAGTGACTCTACAGGGTTATATGTATCAGAAGCTCTACACTCTACGGATATAAGTCTAGAAGATGTGTGGGTTATGGATACAGGTTGCAGCTACTACATGACTCACAAAAGAGAGTGGTTTGAAGATCTTAAAGAGAACAGTGGAGGCTCAGTCAGAATGGGAAACAAAACAACATCAAAGGTCAGAGGTATTGGGAATATCAGAATCAGAAATGAAGATGGAACAACAGTGCTGCTGTCTCAGGTTCGATATATCCCTTATATGGACAGAAATCTGCTCTCAATGGGAACATTGGAGGAGCAAGGATGTAGTTTTGAATCAAGCGACGGAACTCTTATTGTCAAAGACAAAACCAGAACTCTCTTGGTGGGGAAAAGGCATGAGAAACTTTACATACTTCAGGGTAGCTCAGAATGTGGTCAATCGCTAGTTGCAGAAAGGAAAGCAAATGACACTGTCCTGTGGCATAGAAGGCTGGGTCACATAAGTCAGAAGAATATGGACATTATGGTAAAGAAAGGACTTCTAGACAGGAAGAAGGTGTCAACACTGGGAATGTGTGTGGACTGTGTCTACGGAAAGACAAAGAGGGTCAGTTTCTCTGTTGCTACTCATGATACAAAAGAGAAGTTGGATTATATCCATTCCGATCTGTGGGGAGCTCCGAGTGTTCCATTGTCTTCGGGAAAATGTCAGTATTTCATATCGTTCATCGATGACTATACTAGAAAAACATGGGTCTACTTCCTAAAGCACAAAGATGAAGCATTTGGAACCTTTGTTGAATGGAGCATCATGGTAGATAATCAAACCGAGAGGAAGATCAAAATATTGAGAACTGACAATGGCCTGGAATTCTGCAACCATGAGTTCAATGACTACTGCAAACAAAAGGGTATTGTTCGACACAGGACGTGTGCTTACACACCCCAACAAAATGGCATCGCAGAAAGGATGAACAGGACCATAATGGAAAGAGTGAGAAGTATGTTAAGTGACTCGGGGTTGCCTAAATCATTTTGGGCTGAAGCAACCTGCACTGCAGTGATTCTCATCAACAAAACACCAACATCTGCTATAAACCACGAGATCCCTGATCAGAGATGGTTCGGAAGGGCACCGGTATATAGCTACTTAAGGAGATTCGGGTGTGTGGCTTTTGTTCACTCAGACGAAGGGAAGCTGGTACCTAGAGCAAAGAAAGAGGTTCTTTTAGGCTATCCAGCTGGAGTGAAGGGCTATAAAATTTGGTTGTTAGAAGAGAAGAAGTGCACAGTGAGCCGAAATGTAATCTTTCAAGAGAATGCAGTCTATAAAGACGTTATTCTCAGAGGAAAGGAGACCTTAAGTGATCAAGGAGAGATGTCAAATACACTTCTAGATATCGACCTTGGAGAAAGAAGTGATACAAGCTTAGGTGGAGATCTCTCAGATGAACAAGAGGAAGAGATGGATCAAATGTCAGCAAGAGGATCTCATCAACCGGAAGATGACCAACATATAGATGAGATAGCTGAAACACCAGAAAGCTATCACTTGGCTCGTGACAGAGCAAGAAGGGAACTGAGACCGCCAAGAAAGTTTGATGTAGAAGGCTATTTAAATGAAGACTGTGATGAGGAGGATTCAGATGAAGATGCATTCGATTCAGAAGCTCTCATTACAACTGTTGATGGTGATACTAGAGAACCTGCAAGTTTTCAAGAAGCTCGGAAAGACAGTGATTGGGAATTTTGGAGTAATGGTATGGACGAAGAGATGGACTCTTTAGACAAAAACCATACGTGGACCGTTGTTACAAGACCAAGAGGACAACGTGTTATCGGTTGCAAATGGATCTACAAGCGAAAGCCTGGAATCCCAGGGGTAGAAACACCTAGATACAAAGCAAAAATAGTTGCAAAGGGATATGCTCAGAGAGAGGGAATAGATTACACAGAGATCTTTGCCCCGGTAGTTAAACATGTTTCTATAAGGATTTTGCTAGCTATTATGGTAGAAGAAGATCTCGAACTTGAGCAGCTTGATGTTAAAACCGCTTTCCTACATGGAGAGTTAGATGAGAAGATCTACATGGAGGTTCCAGAGGGTTATCAGGATCAGTTCAAGCCAGGAGAAGTGTGTCTATTGAACAAATCTCTATATGGTCTAAAGCAGTCACCGAGGAAGTGGAATGAAAAGTTTGACAGTTATATGAAGGAATTTGGTTTTAAGAAAAGCTTGCGAGATAACTGTGCTTACATCAAAACATTAGGTGATGGCAACAAGGCATATCTAGTAATCTACGTGGATGACATGCTAGTTGCAGCTAAAGACAAAGGAGTTATCTCGGAATTGAAGCAACAACTTAGTATCAAATTCGAGATGAAAGATCTCGGGCAGCCAAGAAAATACTCGGTATGGAAATCACGAGAGACAGAGCTAAAGGAACATTAAGGTTGTCTCAAGAAGGATATTTGGGTAAAGTCTTGGAACTGTACAAGATGGAGCAAGCAAATGAGGTGCTAACACCCCTTGGAGCTCATTTGAAGATGTGTGCAGCTACTGACAAGCAGCTTCTCAACGACAGAGAATAGATGAAATTGGTCCCTTACTCAAACGCTGTGGGGAGTATAATGTATTCTATGGTTGGAACAAGACCTGACTTATCATATCCTGTGGGTATCATCAGCAGATTCATGAGTAATCCGATCAAAGAACATTGGTTGAGAGTGAAGTGGGTTCTTAGATACATCAAGGGGACCTTGAAGAAAAGCTTGTGTTACTGCAAAGGTTCTGAATTTGTTATAAAAGGTTATTGTGACTCAGATTTTGCAGCAGATGTCGACAGAAGAAGATCCATCAGCGGAATGGTCTTTACTCTAGGGGGTAACACAATCAGTTGGAGGTCAGTTTTACAGAAGGTAGTGGCTTTGTCAACCACTGAAGCCAAATACATGTCTCTGAATGAGGCAGTGAAAGAGGCGATATGGCTTAAAGGCTTACTAAAAGATTTTGGTTACAAACAAGGAGGTGTTGAGATTTTCTGCGACTCACAAAGCGCCATAGCTCTTTCGAAGAATAATGTGCATCATGAAAGGACTAAGCACATTGCTGTTAATTACCACAAGATCAGAGACACAATCGCTGATGGAATTGTGGAGGTGTTGAAGATATCTACTCTGAGTAATCCGGCAGATATTTTCACCAAGGTTTTGCCCGTTAGCAAGTTTCAAGCTGCACTGGACTTACTGCGAGTGAAGACTGAGAAGAAAGACTCAGGGACCGGGATCGGAATCCATGCGAAGCTGGAATCATCAATTTATCTCAATGTATGTTACAGGCTCAAGTTGTTTTGTTGATCGTTCATCACTAGGTGGAGTTTTGTTGGGATTAGTGCTGAAGATCAAGATCAAAAAGGGAGCTAGACGTGGAAAAAAAGTCTGCAGCTCGAAGGCAAATGTCACGTGACCGCAAGTTACGCTCAGGACCACTTAAGAGAGCCGTTTATGTCCTGCCATAAAGCAAACATAGTACAGACTTGTCTCCAGGTTTCACTAGAGATAAGTGCCACTTTAATTCAATGCGGTTTTGTCTCAAGTGATGGAAATTACGTGGAGGGGAAAAGGGAACTAGGTCACGACGTGACTATTTAAGGAGCCATGTTACATCATTGAGAAAATAGACAGAGTGTGACTCGTGTGAGAGTTGAAAGAACATAACACTAAAGCATAAACTTGTGTTCTGTTCTTTGGGAAACAAGGGAAATAGTGAAACTTGTAGAGGCTTTGTAAAGGGGCTGGTGTGTGTTTCTGATACTCTTTGTAACCCTTGAGATTCTAGTGGATTCCGGGAAGATCCCGGCGAGACGTAGCGACCCTTTCCGGGCGTGAACTCGTTAAACTCTGTGTGTGCTCTGTTTCTTATTTTTCTGCACTTTACTTGTTCTTGCTCACTCGTAAACCTCATTCAAACCGTTAAAGCTTCCTACTTTTGGTGTGTTGGTGATATTAGGCACAAAAGGTAGCGCCTTTGAGGGTCAACATATCTCCACAAAACCAACAATCCTTCAGACAGAAGGTCCACTCCAAAGATCTCAATGGTCATGGAGAATGGAAATGGTGTGGCGTACAGCTCGCAAGACGAGATACACTTTAACGTGGGGCATCTTGCGGGTGTTGCGGGAGATGTAAGAAGGGAGTTTACCGGCGTGGTTTATCACGAGGTGGTACATTCTTGGCAGTGGAATGGTGCGGGCCAGGCTCCAAGTGGGCTCGTTGAAGGGATTGCAGAATTCGTGAGGCTGAAGGCGGGTTACGCCCCGGGTTACTGGGTCGGGCCAGGTCGTGGTAATAGGTGGGACGAGTGTTATGAGGTCACAATGAGGTTTTTGGATTACTGTAACGATTTGAGGAATGGGTTGGTTGCGGAGCTGAACAAGATGATGTGGAGTGGCTACAGTAATGGCTTCTTCGTCGATTTACTTGGTAAAGACGTGAATCAACTCTGGAGGGAGTACGAGGCCAAGTATGGTCAATGAATGCAAAATAAAATAAATCATATTTGGTTATTATATGGTATGTAAGATAATATAAAAGTTTTTAAGCAATAAATAATGAAACAAATAATTTGTAATCTCTTATGTTTTGGAAACTGCGATTGGAATATATTGTTTTGTATTATTTTTAAGCTCTTGCTTAAATCTATTACTAATAAAAATTAAAACTATATGTTTCTAATAGTGTTCATATAAAATAAAATAATTTTTTTTTATGTCCACATCAATATGATTATGATGTTTAGCTAATAGTTTAACAGATATTTTTAAGAAGAAAGAAATTACACACATATTTAGAGATTCCTACATTAGCATTCAAATTTTTATTACATAACTATAAAAAAAAATTAAGTTAATTTTGTGTGTGTGCAACCATTTCAATTTAAAAAAACAAAAGAGTAGAATAAGCTTTCGCTAAGGAATGAATTATTACAACGTAAAAGAGCCAACTTAGCTAAGATATCTGTTAAACAAGCTGAAAAAGGATTATGATGAAAGAAGATATTGACAAAGCCATTTGAATTTTTATTAAAAAAGAGTAAAGTTAGTTTTCACTAAAGAATGAGTTATTACAACATAAAAGAGCCAACTTACCTAAAAATATCCATTAAAATATTAGCAAAAAAAGGATTATGATGAAAGAAGATATAGTCAAAGCCACTACATGCCGTTTTAATGTCGAAAAAGAGACTGTAATTCTCCAAAACTTGGCCACCGTATTTAAGAAAAAGGATAAGTTCTAAGCAATCTGCGAAATATGTCAGTGATTGATACCCAACACTTTTGAAAAACAAAGCGCTGTGAATAGATAAAGAAGTTCTGCCATTAAGGCGGAAGAGACCGAGGTATTTGAGAGAAATCCTTGGAATAACATGAAATCTGACCGAGTTTTAAAAATCCAAACGACAATGGTAACAATAAGCTGATCAAGCAGAATCCGATTACAATCAGTAAGCCTCATCATAAGGAAGAGTGACCGCAACCACTTGCCGCAAATGGCCTCATGCAAGATCTTCGAGCTTTGATTTCTACCACATACGAGCCTCAAAGTGATATAAAAGTTGAAATTACTTAATTCAAGTTATATAAAATCGTGAGTGCATTCAATATATATCACCGGACAGAATTATGGTTTCTATATGTTCTAGGTAAATGAAAAGCTTATTTATATAGTCAGTTTTTTAAATTATTAAATTGTTTCAATGTTCATTCCATAATTATTGTTTTGGTTTCAAAAACTAATTTTGTCTTAGATACGAGTGTAATATTTGTGTTTTTTTTTTTTTTTTACCAAACCATTCCATATAGGGATTCTTTCATAACTTAGCCAACCAAAATACAAACAGAGGGAATTAAACATCCTCTTGAACCATGCCGATTAAATATATTAAAGTTTAGAACAGATATAATTTGATAAAATGACAACGAATTCGAGACCAAACTCAAATATGTCAATAATATCTTCACGGCAAAGCTGGAATGATTAGAAATAGCCACGTTATCTTGTGATTTGAGGATGAAACTCTACCTCCAAAAATCATCGAAACGATCTCGTTTGCTTCTTCTGGTCCCGTGCAGACTGCTACGCAAGAACGCAACTTTGTAAAGACATTCAAATCATTTTCCGGCCATAAGCTCGGGACTAATACACTTCTCACTGAGAAGGAAGTTTCTGCAATCCTCATCTCCGACAATGGAGTAATTGTGAATATCCAGATTAAGCAGTGAATATATTGGGAAACAGGTGGGAGCGGAATTCTTTTACGATAGCTTAATCGAATGGATAGAGGGTCAGAGAAATCAAATGTGAATCCTACTTGATTGAGTTTGGAGCACAGCTCCACGAGAAACACCTTGGCTCGGACGAGAATACCTAAAGTTTATTTGACCAGAGAAACACCGAAAGAGAACGTCCTAGGATGAAAGAAATCCGCAGAAATAGAGCCCAAAACATCATCCCAAATCAGCAGTTTCTAATGACTGAAACGAGATTGCAGAAGAAAAACGGTGGCAGGTGGAGGCGGAAGCTTTTTACGATGGCTTAATAGAATGGGTATAGGAATTGCGGAGAGGGGTGAAAGGAGCAGTTTTTACGATGGCTGAATTGAAGGTTTAAAAGGAGCAGCGACAGCTGACCGAGCATGATGGTCAGAGGTTTACTGAACACAGAGCCATAGGGAATAATTCTCGACATCATATTTATTGCGGGTGTCAAAGCAAAAGATGTAAGCTTTCCAGAATCAAAAGAGATAACCTTTCTCTTATCGTCGGAGCAGACAGTAGGATTCGGATCAGAGGAGCCCTCAAAGCCATCAAGAGTCCTCACCAGTGACAAGGAGAAACTGCCCCAGATCGGATCCAGCAGAGTGACGACGGAGAAAACAAAGTATGAGTTAATGCGTTGAGTTACCGAAAAACTGAGACATGTGGCAGCGGTGAGAGAGAAAAAAAGTTTGGGAAATGGGAGAGGATGAATCGCCAGACAGCAAGCGGTGAGTCAGAGGCGGTGGATCTGGAGGCACTGATAGACAAGATTTTTTGAGACTCTCAGGGTTATCAATCCCCTTTATCAGATGTAGTATAAAGGGATATCAATCCATCTTGTGGGTTTAGTTCACTAGTTTATGTGATTTGTATCTTAATTCAAGCAAAATAAAGTGGGTTTTGGTTTAAAACAAGACACTAAGCAGTTCTAGACAAGATTAACAATGATTAAAAAGGCAAAAAAAGACAAGTAAATAGCAAGATGATGATGATAAAGGCAAAGGTCATAGACATGATAGTTGATCAGGGTGCATTAGTGTTAAACTAGATGCTAATGAGAAACAATCAAGCAATCCAATCAACTTAGAACTCAAATGTAGACTAATCCTCTCATGAAGGTATTAATCTCTATACTAATCCACTTTCAAATCAAATTCCCATTTATGAAATATGAATTAGTAAGCATTATACATCAGCTCTAATATGTCATATATGCATAAAACAATCATTTCCATGGCTTTAATGCATAAATCCCTAATTAGCTTGGTTCAGACATTTCAACAAATACTTTTGGTGCATGAAATGTCTATGATCTAGAGCAAAGTGATTATCAGAGATCTAGCTTTCAGAACAGCTACTTAGAGAAATGAAAATGCATGATCTAAATCCTAAAATTCCTAATCTAACACATTTGCACCCTAATCTACATATATAAGACCTTTTTAAAAGAGTACTCACTAAATCATGATCAACACACTTAATCCTTTGTAAGATGTGTTGTTAATCATGATTAGAAGATTTAAATAATGAAAAGAAACGACAAGATACATCCTTGAATGATTAAAAACGAGATATCTCTTAAGAAAAAACCAGGTTTACACAAAAGAGGCAAAAGAAACTAAAGAGAGAATGAAAGATACTTAGAGTTTTTCCCAAAAAAATATTTATAGTGATTGAAACGAACCGGGTCAGCCCAGGAAAAACTAGGTACTGACCCGGCCTTCTTGGGTTGCTGGAGCCATGCCTTGGGCACCTGAAGAAATCCTACACTGAGGCCACACAACAAGGGGTCTTGAAACTGGGTTGAAAAGTGAAGAACATCTCAAGAACATGTGTGAACTTTGGCTTTGATTTGGTTAAGGTCTTTGAACTTGAAGCAGGCTTCTTTGAGATATGGGTTCATAACAAGAGGCCTAGGTATCATTCACACCAAGGGTTCAGGCCGAGGTGTTGCACATTTCATTCGGGCATTGCACCTCGGCATAGAACAAGCCGTGGGGTGAGGCCGAGGTGTTGCACATTTGTTGCGTGTGACATGTGCCTCGGTGTAGTCACGCCAAGAGGTCTAGGTCAAGGGGGTCATGTGCAGGAGGGCCTCAGGGTAGTGAAGGCAAGGGGTTATGCCGAGGCCAGCTATAACACTTAGGAAAATTCCAGATCAACCCCATAGATGCTTCAACTGGACACTTAGTTGTTTGGGGACTAGTTTGTTGAGCAAGGATCCCTCGGTGTTGTATGCCCAAGGGGTCAGACCAAGAGAATGACCAAAAGTTTCGCAAATAGGCATCGGTGCACAGATATACTGAGGGGTTTACACCGATGCACAAGAAAACACTTAGTACACAGCAAGCTCTTTGAACCCGAAATGACATGTTTCTCTTCTGTTCAATGTACCTTTCAGCTCAGTGATCCAAATGACACAAGAACAAGTCCTCAAGATAGATGACTTAACCAGCTCAAAATTTGGTGAAGAACCTGATTGCATCCGGAGAGAGAAAGGGTTCCCTATGGCCAATCTTTGAAATGCATTGCACTGGTCCGAATAGGCTTCTAGACCTGTGCTTTCTCCGTTTGCGTTATCTCCGAGATCACAGCTCCAAATCTCCTGAATCCAAGCGTTCTAGAAACTAGATTCAATGCTCTCAAACTTTAACGAAGACCCTAAAAGCCAGATCGGAGGGAAGGCTTTCCTGTAATGGCATCTTTAAGCCGTATCGGATTGGTCCAGAATGAATGTGAGACATGTTTTTCTTCCATTAGCCATATCTTTCAGCTCACTGCTCCAAATCCATTGATTCTAACTTCTGTAGTCTCAATTATCGTGATATTTTCTGAAGATCCCGAAAACTGAATCGGACGGAAAGACCTTCTGGCAACTCAATCTTTGGAGCGCATTGACACAAGAGATTTTTGGCCGAGAACACATTCCCTGCGGTACGTGTTTTGGCCGAGTTTTCCTTTCCGCGGTTTGGCCGAGAGAACACTGTCTGTGGTACATGGTTTCGCCGAGAGACTCCAAAATGCCATTTTCATCATTTTTGATCCTTCTTCCACCATTTTTTCACCTAGTTTCTTCTTTTCCACTCCAAGTAGCCTCCAAAATACCTGTTTGACATTCCAAACAATGCAAGACTCACTTGGACCTAATGCAAAATCCTAAAACTCTAAAAAAAAAGATGAAACACAATGAATCTATCTAAAATGCATGCATGAGACTCTGTTTTTGGACTAAAAATGCATACTAAACGAGTCAATTTATGAACATATCAACTCCCCCACACTTATATTTTGCTTGTCCTCAAGCAAACTAGAACAAATGAGAGAGAGGGTTGGAGTTTGGGAGTTCACATTTCTTTAAAGAGAGAGAGTTGATCATCAAAAGAGTTCAAGCTCATGGTCCTAGTTACTAGTTCTGGGATGCAATAAGGAATACTTTGGATGCAACAAGTTCAAACCCTGACCTACACAAACATTCTTATCCTTCAGCCTTTTAACATTCATTAAGTTGTAACCATGTGGATCAAGTGATGCTTATCCAAACGAACATGTTTGGCCAAAGGATGAGGTTATGAGACAAACATGATCTCATTCAATGCTTATGGGTTCAATGCAGCTCAAGGGATCACTCAAGAAGGAATAAACTTTAACAGAAAGTTAAAGGTAAAAGGCAACTTATCTATCCAATGCCCCAAATTGGTCTTTCACCTTAACTCTAAACCCATGAAGAACACGCCTAAGCTACCCTTTTTCCAAGGCTTTCATCGCCTTCTCAACCCACTTCTCACTCATTTTCATTCTTTTTCTCACCAGGGGATTCAACTTTCCTTTTCAAACTCTGGCTTTGGGGTCTAAAATTTACATTTAGCTCTTTCTCACTTGCACTATCTAGCCTCTTTTCTTTCCCCTTTAAACAATTGAGCCTTTTTGGCTTCTTTTCTTTCTTTCTTTTCACTTAGAGGCTAGACTTTTCCTTTCAAACACAAGAGCTTTCTTTCTTTGAACACCAGACCCCAAACAGATTTCTTTTCTTTTCTATCCCCTGGTTCTCATCTCAATCTCTCTGTTTTTCACTCAATGATTCCCAAGGTCCCTTCCTAACCTACTCTAGTCTCATGATGCAGAGCTAGATCTACATGAAAGCCTACTCTTGTCGCTCTAAACCCAACACTTTCTGTCAAGTCTATTCAAAACAAGGCCTCACATCGCTCACTAGAGTGTTTAGGCTTCAAAGATAATTTAGTTAAGGCTAGGGAAAACTGTATCAATGATGGAGATCATCTACTTGGGTTAACAAGAGTGGTAAAAAGGAAAAAGATAACCCAAGTATGTATAAGTATCCACAAGTTCATCTAAACAAGCATCACAAGATAATTCAAAATCAGATTAAGAATTCCACTTGCTAAGGCTGAATTCAATTCAAAGCTTGCTTCAATCAAGGTCCAAACATTGTCACACATTTCATCACTTGCAAGCATCAAAGAACTAATAACTAGGGCCATGAACTAAACTCTTAAGATGATGCTCTATCAAAGAAATGTATCATTAATCCCATGCAAATGATGCAAGCCTATATGATTATGCAACTCTAGACTCAATCCTAACATGTGAATGCAGCTACATGAACATTTGTTTGTTTTTTTTGGTTTTTCTATGCACTTAGATGCTATGCATGATCAAATGAGACTCAAGATGCAAAAAGTGAAAATAAGAACATAGAAAACATGATTAGTAGACATAAAATCCCTCCCCCACACTTAAATAACACAGTCCCCTGTGTTATAAAAATATGAGAAAGGACTGAAAATCAAAAGCAAGAAAAATACAAAATGAAAAATCTAGAACTACATGCATATGTACAAGAGTTTGGAGTGTTACCAGATTTGTTTTTGATGTGAAAGAGGTATAGAACATGGTGGAAGTGGCTGTTGCTTGAACCCTCTCTCCTGACCCAAGTCTTTGAAGCTCCTTGATTTCATCAGCTTGTGCAAGAGCGGCTAAGTGTGCCAATGCCGAGGGGTTTACACCGAGGGGTCTTGTTTTCTGGGTTTCAACACATGAAGGCCTCGGTGTGCTCTACCCAGAGGCACCACACCAAAGTTTTGACCCTTTTCTTCGTAAAACCACCTCGGCATGGTAGTGACCGAGGCATGACACCGAGGTTTGGCCTTTTTTCTTCATTTATAGCAGGCCTCGGTATGGTCATGGCCGAGGGGTCACACCGAGGTCTTTGATCCTTCATTTGTTTCCAGAAGGCCTCGGTATGGTGGTGACTGAGGGGTGCGGCCGAGGTATTGCACCTTTCATGCGGATCTTGGGCCTCGGTATGGTGCACACCGAGGGGTCTACACCAAGGCCATGTGTTTTGAGGCGTCTAAACACAAGGCCACACCCTTTAACACCTTTTTGCAGCTATTTCTTCACACCACCAAACATGAACTCCTTTTAAAACCTGAGAGAACTAAAAAACACCTCAAAAGAAAAGATCTAAAAGAACTTATATACAAGGATAAGCTTGGGGTGTCTCCCAAGAGCACTTTGTTTTGGTATCAAGCATGAAGGCTGTGCTATTCATCTCCTGAAAACAATCAGATCCTTTGTATTTGAATTAAAATCTGAGACCCTTTTTCATCAGCTCTTGAATACCCTTAGACCCCTTGTCAATGAGTGCTTGTGTGAAGACTACCCTGATCTCAGCATATGGCTTTGATCTTCCATTGCATTGTATCTTGTACTTTATAGCTCCATCATCACATTTCCAAGGGATGAGAGTTAAGCCTTGAGAAGAAGAATCAGGTTCAGGATTCTTCCCTTTGGATTCAGAACCATTACCCTTGTTGTTGCTCATCTCTGTCTCTCTTTGTATAGGGGGAAAAGAGATCAAACAGGCTTCTTCTTTAATAATGGACTCCTCATCTTCATGCTCATAGACAGGATTGGTGAGGAGTTCTTTCTTTTTCTCCATAGCTGGAAGGGGTTGAGCTCCACCTAGGATACCAATGCTTCCCACATATTTCATCTCATGCACTATGAGCTCATCAATCTCTTGAACAACAGTTCCACAAAACTAAGCTGAAGGAGGCTTAACAGGGTAAGAGACATATTTATCCACCTTTGTGAGCCCCACTCTTTGAGTATCAAAGTCAATTCTTGCCTCTGTAGTGTTAAGAAAGGAAGTCTCAAACAAAAGAGAAAGCTCTTTGGTCTTCTGCATCTTCATGATTATAAAATCAGTGGGGACTATGCACTCACCAACCTTCAATGGATAGTTCTCTAGTAGCCCAGAAGGTTTCTTTGAGTAAGAATCTCCAAAGGTAATTGAAGAAGGGTAGTGCTTTAAAGTATTGATCCCTAGCCTCTCCATCATGTCTAGAGACATCACACTAACACTAGAGCCAGAATCACACAAAGCATTCTCAACTCTGAAGTTGCCAAGAGTGCAAGAGATAATGAATTTCCCTGGATTACCCAACTTTGGGAGTGATGTAGGCTTCACATTTGCTGAATCAAGTCTGGAGATTCCATCTTGGGGGGTTTCTTGATCAGCTTTCAGTCCCTTATCTTCAGTACCATCAGAAATCTTCTTGTTCCTAGCAAAACAAACTGCCTCCCCACCTTCTTTCTCAATGTCCTCATTGAGATCAAAGAACATGCTCACAAAGTCTTCTATAATGGCGTCTTCATCCTCAGTGTTAGGGCTGATCCCATCAGAGACTTGACCATAAAGAAGGTATTCAATTTCCTTAACAGCAGCAGTATGATCATCACTTGAGTATATGGCAGTGCAATATACCTTGGGGTTTGGAACAGCTTTGCCTGGCAGAGAGCTTTGAGGAGAAGAGGTGGAGATGCCATTGTTTTCTTAAGGGCCGTAATTTCAGTCCATAGTGTCTCCATCTTTGAACTGAGGTCAGTATACCTAGAATCCAGTTTTTGTTGGCCCTTCAAGATCTGCTGTAGAGCAACACTGATATCAGGACCTTGCTGCTGAAAAGTACTATGTTAAACTTGTGGCTGTCCAAATCTAGGAGGAGGAGACTTTTGGTGCTGGAAACTGACTTGATTTAGGAAGTTATTCCCTTGGTTATGAACTGCTGGTTGCTGAAAAAGCTTGTTGAATTTGGAAGTTTCCTTGGCACTGGTTCTTTGGAACATAACTCTGATTCTGAACTTACTGAGGAGGGTACACTTGGTCTCCAGGGTTTGCTACATTGGGGTTTTTATAGCTCAATTTCTGATTGTAATTGTTGGACCTGTTGAATTTGTTCTGGTTCCCAATGTAGTGGAGTACCTCCTGAGTCAAACCATCTTCATTGACATTCTCAAAGCAGTTCTTCTCGTTAAACTCTCCCACATAGTTTATAGGCGTTTGAGTGGCAACTAGCACTTAGTCAATCTTGACCTGCAGCTCCTTTATATCCCAGCCTTTGTCCTTCACTAGAACCTTCTCCTCTATAAGCTCTATCATAGTCTTCACCATATGTGTCATTGCTCATAGCCAAGTTCTCCACCAACTCCATTGCTGCATTGATTTCTTTGACAAGGAAGTTGCCATTAAAAGCTGTATCAAGTTGGTTTATTATCTTGGGGAGAGCTCCTCTGTATAGAGTACTGAGTAGTGAAGCCTCAGAAAAACCATGATGGGGACACTGGTTGATGTAGCTCCTAAATCTTTCCCATGCTTCCCCAAATATCTCATTGCTGTGTTGGGTAAAGCTTGAGATTTGATTCCTCAGCGTGGCTGTCCTTGATGTGGAGAAGAACTTAGAGAGAAAAGCTTGCTTACACTGATCCCAAGTATGAATATAGCAGTCTGGCAGATTCTTTTCCCCAATGATGAGCTTAGTCTCCCAAGCTGAAAGGGAACAATCTTAACTTGAAGCTATCCTTTCAAACCCCATTAATCTTTTGTCATATCACAGACTCTGTCAAATTGATCAAGGTGCTCAAGTGGATCCTCCATAGGCAGTCCATTAAATTTTGAATTCTGCACCATATTGAGAAGTGATGCTTTTACTTCAAAATTGTTGTTTTGTATTGGTGGAGCTTGGATTCCTGCTCTGTTTTGATGTAGCCCTGTCATTCTCTCCAACAAAGACAGGATGTGGCTCTTGACGCCTGGGAGGTTGTGAGAGGGGCTGTTAATTTACCTGATTCCCTTGCTGGTTCTAGTGTCCCTGAGCTTGTCCCTGATGGACCTGTGGCTGTGGAACCTGAACGCCAATCCCATGAGATCCAATATCAACTCCCTGACCCTGAACGTCTGCTAAAGCCTGATGCTTGATGCGATTGTAAACGAGGTTGGTCGTTTTTACTAAGCTTCAGGTTTTAAATTTATAACCCCTACATGTCTGCAAGTGCATAGATGTGCGTTTAGAGGTGTCAAATTGGACTCTGACCCGCGGGTTCGGCCCAAGTAAAACCGTAGCGGTGCGGGCTTGGACACCATAAAATTTGTCCAAATAAAAAGCGGGTTTTGCGGTCCAAACCCGCGTGGACATTGGGCTTTTGCGGGTCGGGTCAAAACGGATCCGCGGGTTTGCGGGCCAACCCGCAAAATTTGATGTTTTCTTGTAAACTTCAAAAAGTGAAGTATTTTGTCATTTTTGATTGATGAATTTCGAAGTAGTAGTTTCATAGAGTGAATCAAAGCCTAGTGGAATCATATTTCAGCTATTGGGCTTTGTGATAGCTTCATTTCAATAAGATCAAGGAATCATCAAACTAGTATATGTTTTATATTTGATTCGATTCAGATTCTGTGATTGAATTTTTGAATTTGAGAGAAAATCTGGTCATTGTCTTCAGCTAAAAACAAGTAATTTTTTAGAGTTTTAATTAATTTCAGTTTAGTGTCATAAGTTTGTTTGTTTTTTGTTGGTTTTGCTCATTGACTATATCACGGACGTGGTTTTTATTTTGTCTGCAGCGATGCAAAGGTAATTTAGAATCGCTTAAATCTTGAATTGACAATAAATAGTTTTGCTTGAAAATCACATTTGTTTGTACGCTGGACTAACAAATAAGCTTTGTTCATCTTTTTTTATTATTTATTTTATATGTGAATGTCTTGTTGCTTGTATCTTGATGGTTATTTAGCTTAAATTACCAGTTTTTATGTGTATCATTATTTGTAATTCATTTATTTGCTTTTCAAAACTAAGTGTCTATTTTTAACGTTAAATTGATTTTTCAAATCTTATGGTATCATAGGGTTAGGAGTTTTGTCTAAGAGGTTTATCGAATTCATTTGTTTGTTCATCGAATTTACTTAGACAAGAATTTTCTTTAATTTTGTTTCTTATGTATATTGTAATTCAGTTACGAGGAAAATTTTATCCTCCTCGCAAATTTTTTGGTACTATAAATCTAAATGTCATAAAAACTTTAAGATGAAGAAGAAAGTATGAATCCACGGGCCAGCCCGCAAAACCGCAGAATATAGGCGGGTCGGGCTTGGACACATCAATTTGAGACCGCAGTTTATGATGGGCCAACCCGCCAGACCCGAAAAAAAATTAGACCCGCATCGGGTCGGGCTATTTGGACGCGGGTTGGCCCGATCTCTATGTGCGTTGTAGTACTTAGGGTATCGATCCACAGAGACTTAGTTGTTTTAGTACTTAGTTGTTTTAGTACGAATTCACGCTAATGCTTAAATCAGACTAGAACTAAACAATTTGGGTTTTTGGTTTTGGGTATTACTAAATATAAACTAAAAAGCAAGTAAAAAACAATTGAAAATGAAAGCAAATGAAAACAGGTAAAACTTGATTGAAAATAGAAGGCTGTAAACAATGAAAAACAAACGCTGGGCTCAAGGGTATCTCAGGGATTCATGGACTAAAGCTATGTCGAATTTAAGCAAATGATAAAGGTAATCAACTATGTATGTTGTAGAACTCGAGGTACCGAAGTAAGTATGAATATCCTAGTTTTGCAGTACTAAACAACTATCTCTCGCAACCCCGACCAGTAGGTTTCCACTCTGGTCCTGGAAGGGAGTAGATGCCATAGTTGAACAAGACTAATCAACATTCTGATGTGCTGTTGTGTGTTGAGGGTTGTCAAGTTTTACCCTAAATGAAATCAATAGCCGCAAGTGCACAGCTGATCGATTGTAGTACTTAGGGATCGAATCCACAGGGAAGGAGGATCTTTCCTGCAAAAGCCTTCGAAAGAAATATAAAGTAAGGAAGTCTAGAACCAAACGGTTTTGTGGGGGTTTTGGTGGTGTGTTTAAAATGTAAAAATGAATCTTAAAGAGAAAATACGGAAATTAAAATGACCTAATAACTAAACTTAGCGAAAACGAGTAAAAATGAGAAAAACGGCTAACCTAATTGCTTAAATGAAAATCGATTGAAAGGGAATGAAAATAGTAAACTAAAGCTTGAAATAAAACGGTGTAAATCTATAAGAAAGAAAGCACTGGGGTTCAGGGAAGTTTTCTCAGGGGTACAAACGATTCAAAACATTGCTAGAGAGTAAAATTGATAAGATCTTAGCTTAAACTTTTCGAACTGGAGTCACGGACGTATGAATACGCCACTGTCGTGATCATAGACAACTATCTTTCTCAACCCTGACCAGTAGGTTTCCACTCTGGCCCTGGAAAAGAAGAGATGCATTATGTTTAAGACTCGTCAGCATTCACAAATCGCCCATAGGTAGGTTTCCACTCCTATGTTTGTTTTGCTCTCCCAAACTAGATCTGACACCGGATGAACACTTTCGTGTCACCAAGCATCTGGATCAGATTGTAGTTCATGACGCTACTCTCATGCAGTAAAAACGAATTCAGAAGAAAAAGTTCTAAGATTCGGCTCAAAAGCTCATGGAATCCTCATCGAACATATAGATCCCCATCGAAAATTCCTTTAGTCCCAACAATAAAACTGCTCAGACATGATGAACGAAATCAAAAACATAGTATTAAAAAGTAGAATAGAAACCGAAATTGAAAAAGAAAGAAGAAGGGTTCAAGAGACAAATCTCTCTCTCCCTAAAACCTAAAACTTAAAAAGTATTCTAAAACAATAAGAACATATGAGGGCTTATGAGGTGATACGAATTAGGGTTCCTAAAACATGTATTTATAGTGCTCAAGACATCTCTAGGGTCTAGGGTTCCAGAATCAAGGCTGGGAAAATGATATGGGCTTCGGAAATGGGCCTTCGGGGTCGGAGTTAGCTGGCCGCGGTCGGGATGAGTGTGACCGCGGGAAATGGGTGGCAGGCCGCGGTCGCGGTGCTTCTGACCGCGGGTGGAAACGCTTGCCGGCTGGTTTATGGGACATCTTGCTCTTCGCGTATCTTTTGATTGAACCGTTGGATTGCCAAGCTGTAAAGTGTGCTGGAAAGCTGATACTTCCATCTTTAAGATCTCCAAATTTGAGCTGGATCAGACGGTGAGAAGGCGTTCAATCAGGGGTGAACTTCTGACAGTTTGACTCTGAGCTGAAATCTGGTTTTCTATCCATTTTGTTAAGCTTTTCCCTAAGTTACCTGAAAAGAGTCTTGGAACTACAAATACTAGAAAAACGTAATAAAAGTACTTGAAAGCAATTAAAAACATAGAAAAAGTATTTCAAAACGATCCATAAAAGTGGTCAAAATACAGTGTTATCACATTCACAACTCATCTATAGGTAGGTTTCCACTCTTATAGAATCATTGCTCGTTTCACCTTAGGTCATATAATCAATGAAAGCTTTCGCAACAAATCATATCTAGATCGGCTTCTAAGTGGCCAGCAGAGAATCACGCAGTAAGATTAAAGACAAACAAAGAACATCTAGAAGATTATAAATCCTAAATCTTTCGATTCATATAAGAAGACACACGAAATTCCCTTTGAAAAGTACCTTTAAACCCAACTGGGAAACTACTCAAATATATTGTAACAAAGCATCATAGAGTATTGAAAGTTGCTGGAAATTAAAGAAAACAGGGAAGAAGAACGAAGAACAGAGTCGCAGATGGTGGCGCGATGATGCTCTCCTCAACGACTCCTCTTCGAAGACAGCGGCCTCCTTAGGGTTTCACACAAAAATCTCTCTCTCTTTCTCTAAGTCTGTCATCTTCTGTTAGTCTCTCCCCTTTAGAATGACCTAAAGAGGGTATTTATAGCTTCTGGAGTTGTCCTGGAGACTTAGGGCTTCAAAAATAATGAAGGGAATCGACTTGAGCTTCAATTAGGTCGTCTGGGAAGTGAACGTTGTCTGGCCGCAGTCGCGGTGCTCCTACCTGTGGGGATATATGCTCTGGCCGCGGTCCAGGCTTGTGTCCTCCTTCCGAGACTGCATTTTCTGTCTTTATTGCACCGCGGATATCTAAAGATTTAACCGTTGTATTGTCTCCAAATTGAGTGCATTAGAAAGCTGGTTGTATCCTCTATGTTTTCACAAATTTTGGGGGTGATCAGACGGTGAGAAGGTCTTCATCGCTTGCCATATTTCTGACGGTCTGCATTTATCCAAAATTGCTCATTTGTTCCAGATTACATATCTTTTGCCTAAGTTTCCTGAAAAGTCTTTAGAAACTCTAAAACATTGAAAATACTAAAAACCTTTGGAAACAGAGTTCAAACACCTGCATAAGACATCATTATGATCCATAAAAGTGGTCAAAATACGGTGTTATCAACTCTCCCAGACTTAAACCTTTGTTTGTCCTCAAACAAACTCAGATCAAGCCAGGAAAGAATTTTAAAAATTTCAGGAACTAAAAAATATCTC